TCATCTTTTATGAAAGTTATATTTATGAAAATCGATAACTTTAATGTTAAGATATCTCCTGAGACAATGTGAGCTAACATGGTAAGTAAACAGTAGGCAGTTGCTGAATCAAATGTCTAATTCAAACAGCATTCAGTAACACAGCCCAGCATGGGTGCACTCTTTTAATCAGAATCTCTCTCTCTCTGGGCTCACCCTTTGGCCTGAACTTTGTTGAGCTGCTGGATTAAAGGCATGAGAATTGAGTTTCCATTTCTAAGCTCAGAAAATCTATTTATTCCATTTATCAATTGGCAGGACCAGTATCAGAAAATGTTAAAAATTACATATGAATAACAATTCCTAATATTACATGGCTTTTTTGTAGTTTGCAAAGCACACTTATATGTCTTATTGCATTTACTCCTTCTAATCACGCTGTGAAGTGATTTAAATGAGAATGAGAATGAGAATGGCTCTAAACTTAGGCTTTCTTGCCCCAACTTCTGTTCCTCCACAATTCTCATTTATTCTGAGGAGATGCCAGTTGTACACCATGCTCTCCTCACTCTGATTTTATTAATAATAATGGTGGTAATAGTGGCTGACATTTGGGCTAGTCCCATGATGCCAGGCATATCTCATTTAATCATCATGCCAATCCCATGATACAGACTTTTTAACTAAACTGGTTTTACAGATGAGTAAACTGAGGCTCAGAAAGGTTAGGTATGTTATAGCAGCATGCATAGCTAGTAAGTCATGGAGACAGGATTCAAATTCAGTCTTGTTTTATTCCCTAGAGTTTAATAAGTCCACTCCATGATTTTGCTGTGTCCTTTGGTTTCTCTTTAAGGTTTCCAGCTCCTTCCAAATGTCTAATTCAAACAGCAGAAGCACACAGAGTGCTTTCAAGGGAAAAACACCCAAGTATAGGCTGTGGGAGGTTACAGGATGAACCTTAGGTCCTTCAGAATTTATTCCAGTGAGAAACACAATTGACCCATGGAGCAAAGCAACAAGATATCTGTTAGGAGGGCATGGAGCTTAGTGGGGGCCAGAGAGAGGAATAAAACCTGAAGCTGATCAGCCCACTGAGACATTAAGTGCCCCACCAAGGCACTTACTACAGAATCTCTACACTGAGTCATTCACATTTTATGGGAGGATTAGAGGCCCAGTGCATAAAATTTGTGCATTTGAATGGGGGCATTCCTCAGCTCAACCTGCACCCTCTCATAGTCCAGGAGCCTTTGGGGGATGTCTGACTGACAGCTTAAGCCTGCTCCCTGTGAGCCTGGTTCAAGGCTTCTGGCTGAGCAGTGCTCCCCCTGTGGGAGCACACTGACCAGCAGGGAGCAGCTTCTGCATTGAGCATCTGCCCCCTGGTGGTCAGCACGCATCATAGTGATCAGTCGTTCCATACTTTGATCAATTTGCATATTAGTCTTTTATTATATAGGATGGGGTGCTTAACATGAAGGCATCTCTGACTAATAATGACCAGTGGCAGAGCAGAGAGAGACGTGTGCCAGCTGGTGTGAAGGCAGCACAGACTGAGGATTGTAAGACCTCTGGTTGGTTACAAATGCTCCAATACTGTGTACATTCTAAAATATAAACTTCTTTGACATAAAGGCCATAATACAGTTAAGAGCTATTTGGAGTTTTGCTTCAATTAAAAACAATTAAAAACAATAAAGTCCCTAGCCATCTTTCCAAAATTAGCTCATTCCTATGCTGATTGATGCTGGCAGAGGGGTGGGGGAAGTTGGTGAGAGAAGATCTGGGAACAAAACAATTTATTCAACCTCATGAAAGGAAAGCCTTTGCAGATTTGGATGAGATGGAGGGAGAACCCACACCTTGAGCTGCCACGCTTTCCTGGTGAAGCCTTTCCTATCATGGCTTATGGTTCTCATTCCTGGTTGCACATTAGAATCACCTGGGCACTTATTAACCTATCTCTGCCTGAGACCCACCACTCACGAATCTCTGGGAGTGTGGCCCAGGTACTGTAATTTTATAAGCTTCACAGGTGATTGTGAAGCACAGAAGGTATTATTGCTCTAGAATTTCAGAACCAGGAACAAAAGACTAACACAGTGTCCACATTAAACCTTCCACCATTGTGGTGAGCTTAGAAGGGAAACTCGTTGCAGACCTATTTTTAAGAGGAGAAGAGAAGCACAGAGAGGAGAAGCAATTTGCCTGGCTGGAGGGCTGGTGGGGGCAGGGTTAAGATAGGAGGCAGCTCCTTTTTTTCTACCACATCCCTTCTTCTGGTAGCATGTCACAGAATCAATAGTTCTGACACTTAGCTGTTTGTACACAGTATTTCTTACCTGGGACAACCTTTCCAATTAGATCTATACTACTGTTTTAATGTGTTTTCTGATATGGAAACCACATACTAAGGGACTTTCTTTTGTAATTCTTAGCCCTTTGCAAGCACAAGCGGTGGGTCTTGAGACTCCCACATCTGTTTAGAAGAAGCAAGGAACCATTCTGTACAGAGCACAACACATGTACATACAGTGAAAACATATCAGTGGGGATGGAATTGAGACTTAACTCAGTCTCAGCTTTCAATCCAGCTATAAACCCAGCATGTCTGCCACTGGATCTACAACAGTTCTTTTAGAACACAGAGCTAAATCCCCAAGGAGGCCTGGCCTGGAGAGGCCACCTGAATCGCTGTCTGCTTAAAGGTACACTCATGTTTCTTGGATTAACTGGGTCAGCTAGGTTGTTTATTTTTACCGTTTGATTTCAGGGCAGAGTTGGCTTCAGTGTGTTGGCAATTTCCAGGGAACACAGGCTCTGACTGACTGAGACAGGTGTTAGGAACCCCCAGTGACTATTATTTAATTTTGACTCTTCCCCAGCCTCACGATTTATATATGAATTGGTTATGTGACTGAGTTCTATTTTTAACTGCAAATATGTTCTCTTCAACTGGAATCATGTTCTTTAGACACTGCATTATGCAAGCTGGCTCCAGAGTTTGCCAGGAGTGCTAAAGTAAACTGTGGGTAGTCATTGAAACCCCCACAGTGAGCAAACAGCATGCTTACTTGCTGCAAGATAGAGTTTCAGCTGTGTTAAATAACTGGTGCTACCTGATGAGAAATCCTGTCTGGCTACTTCATCAGCTTCTTTCATTTTTGTGTCCTATCTAATCCCAGAATAAATTCTGAGGCCTTGGGGGAAGGGCATTAAAAAGGCTTCTGGAGATGAATATTAAACTTTAAACAAGTCATAATGAAGCGAAAGCAATGTAGTGCTCATTGTAATGTATTTTCTCAGGTCTTAAGCAGGAAAGGTAAAAAGATGATTTAGATGGAGGTAGTGTAGGTGAGAAGCTGTTCTGATGCAGGTGATCCTGCTAAGCCACTCATTCTCCTAAAGTGAGCTCACTAGGCAAGACTACTGATGGGAGCGCAGGTGTATTTTCTTAGGGTGATCATAAGAAACATCTCTCAAGAATTACATAGGAACATGTCACTCACTTCTTCTGAAAGACTGGCATCTGGCTTATCCAAGATGACCCAGAGAAGGGGCAGAGCTAGCTGTCTCTGAAGGGAGGATGTTAACGTCACTCAGGACACTTTGTGGCAAACAAAAGAAGTTATTATTAGAAAGACCGAGAACATCTCCGGAGGGGTTTAGGTAGCAGGAGCTAGGTTCCTGACAGTCTCATTAGGACATCACTGCTGGAATGAATGCTCTCAGCTATTCTTATATTTTTAAGTGTCTATACTAACCCATCAAAATTTGGGGGGATGGTGTGTATTAGAGCTTTCCAGAGAAAAACAGGACCAATACAATATGCATCTTACATCTATCTGTCTGTCTGTCTATCTATCTTCTAGACTAGGGGTGTCGAACTCAATCAGAGAAGGGGCCAAAATCTAAAATCCAGCCTAAATCGCGGGCCGAATGGTTTACTGAACAGTCATAAACTGTCATTATGATGGAAACGCAGCGGAGTGCAGTGATGACAGCGCAGTGCGGGCCACATTGCAAGGCCTGGCGGGACAGATTTGGCCCGCGGGCCTTGTGTTTGACACATGTGTTCTAGACAAAGAAATTGATTTGTTTTAAGAAATCGGCTCACTTGAGTACGGAGCTGACAAGCCCAGTCTGCAGGGTGGGCTGCAGGTTGGAGTTGGAGAGCCAGGGAGAGCATATGTTCCAGTTCAAGGGTTGCCAGGCAGGAAGGGCTGTTGTTGCAGATGATGTCCAAAAGTAGGCAGCTGCAGAATTCTCTTACTTGGGGAGGGTCTTTTTATTCTATTCTGTCCTAGTCAGGAGGAGACCCACCCACATTTGTAGATCAGAATGCTTTACTCCATTGGTTAAAATATTAATCTCATCCAACAGAAAGAATAATGTTTGACCAAATATCTGGATACCCAATGTCCTAGTCAAGTTAACACATAAATTTGACCATCACAGAGCTCTGGAGAGGGAGAGCACAACTAGCTGAATGTGAGTTTGTGACCATCTGTTTAGCCAGTAGATGGCGGGGTATTTTGTTTGGCAATTCCAGAGATTTTGCACTATGAGGCAGAATTTATTTCCCATAGGGAAAGTGGGGAGCTGTTACCAGGAGAAAGGGTACTGGGAAGCCACAAGACAACAGCTGGCTCTGGTCTCAGGAGTCTTACTTCATCACTTGCTTCTGCGTGGGTTAATGTGACAGCTTTGACTGCCTCCCCCAGCTCCTCTTCTCTGTGCGAAAGGGAGAGCAGCTGGGATGGGGAAAGAAAGAATTTCTGTCCCTTTGCCCCTTTACCTCCATGAGTAGAAAGTGAACCATCAGCTCCAGCCCTTACTCTTAGAGATTTGTGCTAAGGATTTAGCACTCAAACTCCGGCTCCCTCTGGGAAGTCTCCCAACACAGTAGAGGGTGTTCACAAGATATCGCTGCCCTCCAGAAGAGTTTGAATCTATTGTACTTTCTTTCTTTTGTGAATGTATTGTGTATTTCTTTCTTTTCCATTCTTTCTCACTAGAGGTGTTATGTAGCTGTGGCTGTTGCTACCCTATGCAGTACCTTTGTGAAATTAAAAAAGCACCAGACCAGAACCTCAGGGAGACACATGGACAGATACTGCCATTCCAGGGCATGTCTGCTGTGATATCCTCTTCAGAGGTTTGTAAGCTTGATTTCTCATTAGCACATTACAGAAGAATTGACTCACTGCAAATTTCATGGATCTAAGATGGGGTAGACATGACCAATAGTCTAAAATGAAAACAGATAAGATGAAAATACATAGAAATCTAAACTCCCCCCCCACCCTCCCCCCACAAGTCTCAGTGGATCATGTACACAATATGGAATAGGCACAACCCACTTTGTGGACCACTGATATAACCTATAGTTCCACTTACAGTACCTGTGCAGATAAGGCTTATTGATTACAGCACTCCTTCTGAGCCTGGAGGTATCCTCATAGTCCATGACAATACCATGGAGTGTGTGAGGGTGTAGGTAGGGGGAGCGTGGAATCTATAGCCTGAGGACCTGATCCAGCCCACTACCTGTTTTTATAAAGTTTTATTGGGACATAACCTTGTTTATATATTGTCCATAGCTGCTTTTGTATTCCAATGGCAGAAACCATATGGTCCAAAAGCCTAAAATACTTATTATCACACCCTTCACAGAAATGCAAGAAAGCTGACCGCTGCTCTAGGCAGTCAGTATTGATCGCTGCGTATTGCTAATAAAATGTAAAACTTGTTTGCCATTCCTGCTTTAGAGTTAGACTGAAGTTTGGTGAATAGTTAATTGTGCTAATCAGGCCAAGCATGGCCTTGCTTTCTTCTGTGAGTACTTAATCTTTGCGTGCTTTCTTAGAAACCTAATCCATTGGTCACAAAGACACAGGGAAGTGAGTAAAGATCAAACTGGTCACCTAAAGTCAATGTCCTATACAGTATGGTCAGCTGTGTCCACTCGACCCTCAGCCCCTCTGCTATTTGCCTCCAGGTGGAGTGTTTGTTCCCCATCATAGGTAACACCAATGGCCCTAGGCTCCACCACTAGAGGGCTCAGACACTGCACATCTGCAAATGGTCATGGGAATCTGTACCAGAAAGTTTTCTCAGGAGGAATTTTTTTTTTTTTTAATCCAACATTTGAGGCGACAATTGAGAATTGAAATGGCTTGTTTTCATGAGTCCTAACAATTCCCAACTTTGGCAACTCCCTTATCCCTTCCTCTTTGGGTTTGTCCATTTGATGTAGGAAAAGAGAAAAGGAATAAGAGCTGGTAGAGGAAGGAAAGACAAAGGAAGGCAGAATAAGAGGGATGGTCATGTTCTGAAATACTAAAAATGTATATAGAGTAAGGTGATTGAATGCAAACCTAATTAAAGTCCATCCCTTTCAGGTGTGGGCAATTCTCACAAACTATGTAGCACCAGCCTTGGTCCTTATAAAGGGGCTAGGAAATCTCTCAGGAGAGAAACTCCTCAGAGTAGAGGGGCTCTCATAGAGGTCTGTCAGAATTTGGCTTCTAGGCCTGCTCTCCAGCCTCCCACCCCTCCACATACCACATCTGCATTCAGTTTAGGGAGGGAAGCGTGCCTGAGAAAGAGGAGTAAAAATGGCAAAATCTACTCCTTAAAAGCCGTGGTAAGAATAGTGTTTGGGTCAAGCGTAATGGACTAACACAAAGAAAAAGGCAGGTGTTCCCTCTTTCCTGGGTAGGCAGGCACCTGTGGCTTTAAAACTCGAGTTTGAAATTCTGAGGCTGAGTGCGTTGGGCTTCTGAAGCAGCTGCTCCTCTGTGACCTCAGGAGACACATTTCCACAGCCCAGCAGGAGCCAAGAACTGGGCAGAGAGTCTTCCTGGAGACAGCCAGAGCAGGAAAAGAGAAATTGGTGGATGGTGGATGCTCCATTTCCTGGTAGGATTTGCCTGAGTATACATGTAAGTACGTTGGTTAATATCCAACTACAGTTAATTTCGGGCTGGTCAAAAGTGCTTTTGTTGGTATGTTTTGTTTATCCATACACCTCCTCTTTTGGGAATTGCATTTTTCCATTCCGCAAGGTTCTAGTAGGGCGGTCAATCATGTGGCTCTGGCTTTCCAGTCACATTGTTACAGGACAGCAGAAACACCAGAAGACATGTTATGGACAGCCCCCTGAATTGAAGGGAAAGGTTGTCCCCTCCCCAGTTCTTATCAAGTTCCTGAGAAATAATTCAAATGAGTGACAACAGGATTGTAGTAAAGCAATCTAATTTACTAAGGAAGCAAAGCAAGCAAATTTATTAAAGAAGTAAGGCAGATAAATCTATCAAAATATACCTGGCATAAAGCACAGGTGGGCACTCAGCTAATCTGAGTGTGTTGCCAGTGGGGGTCAAGAGGTTTTTTAGCCTTCTTCCTATAAGTTCCAAGGTTCCTCTGGAAAGGTTGGGCACAGACTAGTTTTCAAGGTCCTCCCTTTTAATTTGTCATGGATTTTCCTAGAATTTATGAGATTACTTGGCAAGTCCCAAGACTGCTGACTTCTTTGTCAGTAAGTGAGATAAAACTTCCTCTTTTCCCTCTCCTGCCTTAGTGGCTCCAGGCTGATTTAAGCAATGTATTCTCTGGTTTAGGAGGAGAGGCATTAATCATTTTGCTCTCAAGTGTCTTTGGTTGGAAAATAAGGTCTTGCTGCAAGCTGGTTGCAAGCTGTCCAAACTGTTTAGCCTTGTTTAATTTTCTTGCCTCGGTTTCCCTATTCCATTTGACCAGGAATTTTCATAGCTTCTACTATCCTGTTACAACACAGGTGGTCACTTGGAAGAGAGAGTCCTCCACGGGCCGCGTGGGCCCTCATGTGTCCTGTGGTATGTGCCAAGAACGCAAGATCCTACTGTTCTATTATCTCAGCTATTTCTCAGGATTGTTTATGCAACTGGTAACAGCTATGTCTTTCCTGGACGAAAAGCAAGCTTGCTAAAAAGGCAGTGGATTCCCCGAGCTGGGGTTCGTTGGCTGTCATGCACACATATTGCCTGTGTGGTATCCCTCCGGGTTATGCCACCTGGCTGCTCCCATGAGACTCTGGGGTGAGAAGGACCAATGCAGAGACACTGATGTTCATGTTGGGCACTGTACTGTGAGTAATGAAGTCTCTCATTTCTGACCCATCCCTTGTCTTCTGGCAGCATGTGAAAAACAGCAACAAGCTAACTTGTTAGCTTAAAAGTAGGGTAAAAATCTAATCACAGGGAGTGGACACGGGGCTTCTATAAAGTCCTTCTTAAGGATTGATGTGGATCTAGGAGAGAAAAAACTGCACTTCCCCAAGTTTATCAATTGTGTAGACAATAATCTGGCAGTTATAAATGTACTGGTTTGATTCATACTTTATAAATGTAATTGCTGTGCCTGTTGCTCATATCCCTTACTGTTATGGCTTTGGTTGCTATGAGTTGTAAATATTGATATGTATGCTGATTCAAATGCTAACCTGCTTCATGCTCTCTTTCTCCACTCGGCCCTTTCTTGATTTGTATGCAATGAAAACTACTCTCCTCCTGACTTTTTGCCTGTGGATGAGGGAAATGAATGTGGGTCCAAGTGAATTTTCTTGGCTCTGAAAGCAAACTGACAAAAGCATGAAAGTAAAACTAACATTTTTGTAGCCTGGGGCTGCAGAGCCTACGGGCACTGCCATGACATTGAACCTGTGTCAGAACAGCTCAGTTCCGGCCTCTGCAAGGATAGTTGCAGTACTCTCCTCCCCAACATGGGAGTGAATTCTCTGAACCCTTGGGATGCATTGGCTAGGTTTTGCCACTAGATGAACCTCTAAAATTTAGCAATTTGGTGTAGGTTTAGGTGGTGGTCAATTTTATGTTAGAACTCAGATCCTCGGCTTTATATTTCAGCACTATGGGAAAAACTCCCGACGTTCACTTGTGATGTCCAGACTCTCACAGGCGAGTATGCTGGAGATAGCTATAAGACCCTGATTTTGTTGGTGGGCGTGCCCTTTAGTAAATTCACCCAGGGGTGGAATGTGTCTTGTTTACTTCAATTGCTAAGAATGGCACTTTTTTTTTTCTTTTTTACCAAAAAAGCGCTACGTGTCCTAATGCTGGCCCAGGTTTGGAGCCCTGAGGAAAAGGGCTAGACAATCACAGAAGTCTGGTGCCCTTTTTCTGCACCTCCCCTCCCCCTTCAATCACAAATCCAACACCAGCAACAACTTAACTCAGATTTATTGTTGGATGAGAGCAAATGAAAACCTCACCTTATTCCATTGGTTTCTATTACTCATAGCTGAATGAAATGTTTTCCGATGTGCGACCCTGCTAGCGGTTCTCAACCTGTGGGTCTCGGGTTGAGAACCGCTGCTGTAGAGCCTAAGACCATAGGAAAACAGATATTTACATTATGATTCACTAACAGTAGCAAAATTAAAGTTATGAAGTAGCAACAAAAATAATTGTATGGTCGAGGGTCACCACAACATGAGGAACTGTATTAAAGGGTCGTGGCATTAGAAAGATTGAGAACCACTGCTCTAAAGGGAGATTAGTGGAAATCCAAAAAGGCTCCCCCTGGAAGAATCCTAGAAACCTTCGTTTCATTTCAAAGGCCCGGTCTCTCCCCCCCGCCCTCCCCAGTCTCCCCCCCACACACACACACGCCAGCAAACCTGGTGGAAAGGTGTCTTGCCCCATAGCACTGAGGGATTTTAGCTAGATGTTTATTTTTCCTGCAGACAGTTTTTGACATTTTCATACTCTTTATTGCAAACTACAACAATTAGAAAAGTAGATTGAACATAATGTACAGTTTAATTTTTTATATAAAGTAAACCCTTTATCAGGTTAAGAAATAAAACACTGCTAGTCTCTGAAGACCTCCTGGATGCCCCTTCTTAACTATAGTTCCCCTTTTCAAAGGTAATGACTGCCTCCACTTCTATGGCGAATCACTTTGTTATGGGAAGAGCTGAGGTCTGAGAGGGCCTCAGCAGCTTGCTCGCTGATTCCAAAGAAATAACTTGGAAGACTGGCTGTGAAAGGCATGAATTTATTAGGTCTTAGCATTGGGGAGGCATGCTGGTGAAGTCTCCAAAACACAGGCTTTGGCAAAACAGGATTATATAGAGTATAAAAAACAAAGCAAACA